ACTTGTGTGAATGAAACAAACCACAAGTCCAGGTATGATTGTGGTGAGGAAATCAGAAAATATTGTAATATGGGTCCTTTAATCTATATTTTTCTGTACATTTTTGGTTATTAAACACACACCTTGAACTAAACATTGATCTGAAACTATGCCCAATAACATCTAGACCTATTTTATTTTCATATCAGCAATTACAATTACAACTTTGCATTGTATAAAGAATTCTTAGTTAATAAAATGGTACCCTTTAGCTCACTATAGTGTATTTCTGTGTAATCCCACCTGTGGTTCAGAATAGTGAGAAGAATAAAGCATTCTTCATCTGTTCAGTGATGACGGCCCGTACCTTCTCTCACAGTCAAATGGCTTCTGCTCTGTTTTGCATAATTGTCTTCTTGACATCAGTGGGTGAGTTGCTCAAAGCCTGGGTACTATTTGAATTGCATGTGCAAACCTGTTCAGACTGTGTATTGAAGAATGCCTTGAATAGCCTTTCTTTTGAATACAATTCTAGATCAATTTTAGCAAACAACAGTGCTATTTATTTTCACTTTGTTTACCTGTGTGTCTAGCAGCTGTAAAAGTACTGCTGATCCTTGCATGTCCTAGAGGATTTAAGGTTTATCCCAGTGCAAACAAAACCATTTCTAGATTTACATTTCACCGTTTTTACCAAACCAGGTCACCATGGTAACTTGGAGGATTACAGGTGAAATAATCAATACTTTTGTCCTGTGATCACCCCATTGTTCCTACAGAGAAGCAGAAAGGATCGTTACTTTGCACAGTAATGGGGTTTAGCTAGATACAGTGTTATTTATACAGTATCTAATGTAGAATCTGAATTAGCAGCATGTCTTTCCATAATCTGAATTTGAAAGATTTTTTATTTTCATTGTAAAGTACGGGGCTTGCTGGTACAGACTTAACGTGGCAGCACTCATGAGCAACTTCTATTGATTTCATTCCTCTATAAACTCCAGGCTATGTTATGTTCAAGTCAAGCAAAATATGATAATATCTTAATAATAGCGCTGTAGTCGAAATTCAGTCAATTAAAGATATGTCCTGCCAATTGATTAGTCAACTTAATAGGGGCATAGCTTAAAACTTTTGTGTGTCTCTAAGCATCTGACCAAAACTGCAATCACAAGAATACAACAGCACAGGAGTTCATGCAAACACAACTATTTATCCCAAAAAAGTACTAAGAAACAATGTATTTATATAAAGATATTAGAGTAAACTTGCAAATAAGAGCTGAATATGCCTTTTTATATTTACCAAAAAATACCAACTCACTCCCCACCTTCTCTTTTCTGCTTTATCCCACATAATTCCTTATGATCTACATAAAATCATTGGACTAATACACATTTTAGCCGACTGAGACACCACTGACCAATTAATCGACTAAACGAATAAACGGCTACAGCTTGACTTAATAGAATACTGAAAATAGGACTCATAAAATAGGTCTTACATTACATTCCTTGCATAAACTGACTCTATGCTATCCACTAATGGGAAATAAACCACATAAACAAACACACATTTACGACTCTGACATTTCTTGTTATGTATGACACAATCACTTCCCTCCTCTGCCTTGTAATAGACTGCATATCTTTTTATTATTAATTGCATCCATCTTGTGTACATCCAATGTAGCAGCAGTTTAACACAGTGTGGAGTACATGTGGTGTGACCGCTGGGTATTTCCTGTGCATGTCCTCGGCCTCTGTGGAGAACCATCTCTTTCTGATGATTGTTGTTATTGAGTTGTTTTTGCTGACTCTTCCACTTTGCTCACAGTTGGCGCCGGCAACAAGCTACCACCCTCAAGCTAAAATCTATGAGTTTTGATATTTACTCTAAGAAGCAAGCGGCTCCCTTCCCTGTCCCCCTGTGACTCTGAAATATTTGACTTAGTTTCATCCGAGTGTGCTGCAAAAGTGTTGAAATTACATGTTTGGTGGAGATGCGTGCTTGTATAATGCGTGTATTTGCTGACGCAGTTGGAGTCCATTTCAAATCCCAGTCATTACCATAGATATCCCCATTCCTCTCCATCGTCTTGGTCTCCAGCCGCTCCTCGTTCTCCAACTAAACATGCTCGCTACTAGAGACTGAGCAGAAAATGCGTTCCCAAACTGCTAGGTGGAACTGCTTTTGCTAAGGCAGGATTTGAAGCTGTGAGCTGCTATTTCTGAGAGTGGTTGTTCGGCCTCTGTCCCGTACTTGTGAGTGTGAGTGAGCAGATTATTAGCCCCTGTGGAAGCCACCCACTGTTTTTGTTATTACAAGTCTATAGATATAACCTCGAGTCTCACTGCTGCATAATGGCCGTTACATTTTCATTTAGATAAGAGCTCAAAGGAGTCAACAGGAGGGCTCCCACGCTCCAAAGCTTTCAGGATCACACAGCCTTAAGCACTGTCCCTGCCTCTTTTATTTCACTGAAGATGAGATGCTTTGAGGAGACCAAGGGGTAAGGGTTAATGATGTGAAGGGCACAGGGTAACAGTGAAATGCATTAACAGTGAAAGCTTTTACCAATAATATCTGGAGTATTTCACAATCAACATTTTTTCCACATTCAATAGGAGATATTGGTTTATCTTTAAAAGTAATATGCATATTGCCTCTGGCTCTAAATAATAGTTTTCCTTCACTATTTACTATATCTTAAAAATATATACTTTTATTTTTATTCTTATCATGGCTATATAAATATCTCTGTACAATGGAAAAAAACAATATAAGTTAAAATTACTTAAATTAAGAACATTTTACTTACTAGATTCAACTTGACAAGTAAAATGATCTACCAATGGAATAAGTGCATTTTTTCATAATTCAAGGAACACTCACTTTCGTTTCTTATTATTTTTCTTATTTTAAGTGTAGCAAGATGTATTTTCATATTTTAAGTACAAAAAGACTTATTCCACTGGCAGATAATTTTACTTTCAAGTGAAATGTACTTAAGTCATGATAAAACTTTCTTAATTCAAGTCATCTTTACTTCACTAGATTTAGTTTTTTGCAGTGTAGATATTTTACCAAAAGACTAAAAATTATAACTTTCTTTTTCATTGTAATAATTCATTTATTCATTTATTACAATTTATTCTTGTCTTGGGTCAAAGCCACTTTTTGGAAGATCCCCCTAATCCCTGGAATGTACTTCAAACTCCCATCTCCATTTCATGTACAAGCGCAGAGTACTGCGTCTGCCGTGTGTCATCCTCCTTTAGAGCCCCAGATATTTGACAGAAATCAGAAGTTATCTTCTTCTTAAGCCTGCCCCGCGAGCACAACACAGAGAGAACAGTGCGTACTGAGACATGACTGTTGAAAAGCGCCTCCAATCTGAAGTGACTTCTATAGAGCTGAAAGAAGATGTGGGCTTTTGTTGTGTTTACTTTCTCACCCACAGCTTGATTCTGTGCCAGCTCCTGCCTTTGGAGTCCACATATCCAGACGCCTTTGCAATGGAAATAACCAACAGTGTCACACAGCAGCAGTGCCAGCACATGCTTCATGAACATACTCTTTATATAGAACTATATGTAGGCCTGTCACCAGAACACAGTCTGAAGCACGATACAGTGATACTCTGCAGCTGATCGCATCAAGATTCCATGGGGGTGTGATGCTAACAGTAGACACTGCTCTGTTTGAAGCTCTGTTACTCAATTTGGACTTTGATCTGAGCTTTGTTTTAACACAATCTGACCAGAAAGAGCTGACCTGGTTGGAACTACAACAGCTGAACTGATTTGTGCTGTTAAACATGCCCATCTCACACACAGTTACAGTCACAACTCAACGGTTTGTCAATTAGTCACAATTTTTTGTTGCAATCAAACTCCTAAACGGGACCATCAAGCAATAATTGGCCACAGAAGTTATTCAACCGTATACAGCTCAAAAATACCCAAAACTCCATAATAAATTTTGATAGGCAGAATATATAGTTCCTGCTTTTATATATTAAATGATAAGTCAATATAGTAATTATTGACAGGTCTAACTGCAAGAACATGTCAGTAAAGCAAAGAGGTATAGAACTAGTAGTAAAATGTATTCAGTACTTAATGGTCCTATATTACACAAAATTGACTCTTGTGAGCTTTTAGCCATGTTATAATGCTGTTACCTAATCAAATAGATCTGAAATTATCCAAATAATTCTACTAAAGTTAGGTGGAGTTTAAAAACACAGTGGAGCACTTGGACCAAATAACTCTTTACATAGTCTAAAATATATAAATATAAATAACTATAGCTTGTTATCTCTTTTTTTCTATAAATGCTATTGCTTCTGCTTCTTTGTATTTTTTAAATCAGACACAGTTTACACTTTCTTCCCTTTGGTTTTGCTTTCACACCAGAGAAATAAGTGTTTTTCCTTTTCATGCCACATCTCTGACGTAGAGGCTTTCCTAATATAGACTGAACTTATCATATAATCCATCAGGAATTACCCCACCTATAGAGTAGTGCTCTTTTTTCAAATGTTTTTTTTTTTTTTTTTGAACAAATATGCAATCACAAGTTACACCAACACATTTCATGACATTAAAGTTCGTTACAAATGAATGTGAGTTTTGTATCCTTAAAGTGCCCATGTTATGCTATTTTCTGATCTATGTTATAATGTTGTTTCCTCAACACAAACAAAGCTGGTGTTACTTACTAAAACTACCACTACATGACATGACATCACTAGGTGGAACAGAGCATTTTGAGCTTTGGAGATGTAGACAGACTAATAACAAAAGATTACTCAAACGTGTGAATGAAACAAAACACAACTCCAGTTATATTATCTGCTCCATTTTATATATGTTATAAGAACTTATACATTTTAATCAAGCAATGAGTAGTATTCAAAATCCTGTTTACCAATAATTACAAGTATTTCTGCTAATAATGCTATTTTTAAACTAAATTTCTTCTAGCTTCTCATTGCCTTTTCTATGTGTTTTTAGGGGAGATTTGTGCCTTCAAGATCTTCGGCCAGGATGTCCCATTTGAGGCAGTGGTTCTTAATCGGACTTCTGGAGAGGGGGTGCTCCGAGCCAGTGGTCAGGTGGACTGTGAGCTCCAGAAAGAGTACACCTTCATTATACAGGCCTATGACTGCGGGGCGGGGCCAGATGGGGCAGACTGGAAGAAGTCACACAAGTAAGTAACAGAAAGCTAAGAGCACATGATCAGGAGTAACACGAACTGGAAACTTGAAATCTGTGCCCTTAAAGGGTCTATATCTTCTTATCTATATTATAATGTTGTTTCCTCATCAAAAACATACCTGGAGTTTTGTTTCGTTTTTCATCACACGTTTAACACAAATCTTGCATATTTCACTAGAATAATACAGAGCATTTTGAGCTTTGGGGATGTACACAAACTACACAGCAAATTCAGCTCGTAAATTCGTATATTGTTCATTTTAACATTTTTACCATGTCATATGAGGTCCACAATAAAAAGAGTTAAAACTATACTTTCCAAAATGTAGAGGGCTCAACACTGGTAAAGTGATGTAACCACACTCCTCATAGTTGAATTTGACACTGATTAAGATTTGATTTTTTTTACACTAGTGTATAGTGAAAAACTAAAATAACTATATTGCTATGTTTTAACACTTTATGAAGTCGAAATAGTGTAGAGTGCTCTTCATGTTACACTATTCAAAATGCTGTGGTCATTCTAGTTCATAATCCCTTTTACAAATGTAGAATAAGGAAAACCACCACAAAATTCCATTTCAACAATGCACATCATACAATCAACAAAATTTTAAAAAAGTCATATGACACAATACTATTTTTACAAAATCCAACTGACAACAGGAATTCTCTGTGCCCTCAACAGTTGGTCATAATGATTGTTATTTATTTTTTTAAAGTTGATTTTTCAATGCAAGCAGTCGATGGATGAATCAAGATCTTGTTTTGAATGGAATTCAGACATGCTCCTCTCCAAAAAATGAGAGGAGCATGTCTGACTGAAATAATCTCCTTATATAAACAACAATAACAATGTTCACAATAGAGGCAGTCCTGCTAATTATGAAACAATAACATTGCAGAGACTTTTTACCTCAAGAGTCAGTCTTTCACTCTTGGGGTTTCTTTTGACACATCCAATGTCCGTGTTGTAGACAGTTCTTTGAATACAAGTGTAAAGGTTTTAAGAGTCTGAGGACCAAGTACCTTGAAGTGTTCACCAAATTCAGCCAGGTCAATGATGACATAAAAAACCTTTGTCCTTCCCACTTAATATAATAATAATAAAATGAATATAACATATACAAGTAACCACCTTGCAAAACGGGCAATGCAATATTTAATGAGCCATGAATAAAAATGAAAAAGTAAATATAGTTAATATATTATGGGGCATGCATATATCATTATTTGTTTGTTCCTATTAAGCAGGTTATTCTGTTGCACGAGCTGTATGTTTTTGTATACAGGAAACATTCAAATAAATAACTTGAAGGGTAATTTGAAAAAATGTAGCCCCTTATTTTTAAATGCAAGACCCACAAGAAACAAAACACCTAAATGCCATTTAATTGAACTGAATTTTAATTACCATTGAATTTTAATTTTTTATTTTTTTGAAGTAACGTAATTTAATTTAGTACGAACTGTGGCTATTTTACCCAATTTTCATGGGCATCAGTGACGGTAACATTGACTCAGATGGTTGGACATGAGGCTCGTTGAGTTCAGGTTTTGCTGAAAAACAAACGCTATTAGCTGTTAGCTTTGCGCTGTTAGCTCTTAGCTTAGCTTAGCTTCGGACAGTGAAATGTGACTTCTCTCGGACTGTAGCTCTCCCACTGGGAACGCTACAAAAATCCAACACTGATGTAGTGTAATATTCAAAACAGACACTTTCTATGTGTTTCACATTAACACTGTGGATCATCTCTTTTTATGTCAACACTGAATCAACAACTACGTATTTTACTCTATAGCACTGTCATAGTTCAAATAAATCTGTTGTTACTATGTTGAAACATATCTGGATTTTCTTCACTTTACTCCAAACAACAACAACACCGTGAATTTAACACTTTTGAATTTGCTGTGTATGTTTTCATTAATTATCTTAAAAAGCAGTTGCATTGACTTACACCAGTTCTGTCATATTCAATGAAAGATTTATATAACTCGACTTGTGTCATGAGTCACTTGAAGAGCTGCTATTGTTTCTGACTGTCTGTCAGCCTACTGACAAATAACAATGTTTCCAAATAAAAACGTTAACTGTGGGCAGTAATTCACATGCACTGTCACTCAAAAACTCTTACATAACATGGACTGTTGTGAGAGGATGAATAGGATTTTTTGTATCAGAAAAAGTTTTTTCTCTACTTATGTTTCTTCCCTTTTAAAAATGTTTTATTTTAGTTTGTATGCATAACTTTACTGCCACTCTTTATAATTATAACACTTGCTGTGTGTGTCCATTCAGTGATTGGATTAACAAAAAAATATTATTCCAGCTCTGATGTAACAGCTCTTGACTGCAGTATCTCGTGATACTAGTATTTGCTTTGGGCTAATTTATTTTTGGAGCAATGCAAACCTGAAATGAATCTGCCTTATTAAACATTTCATCTTCCAGTGGAAATTTGTGTTTGGGGATCACTCAGTTTGGCAGCTGATGAAACCGTTTCCAACAAATTGTACATGATTAATTCTATTATAATAAAAATGAAAAGTACTTAATTTTGATACTGTTTCAAGCTGACTGGGAAATCGTTGGCAAATTGTTAAGACTCTAATCCTCAATGCTGATCAGACTGCAGTTTCATCATACTGTCTATCACCATACTGTAGTGTATGTAAGTACTGTATGTACTGTAAACAGGAGACTGAGTAGAAGTACTGCACATTGACTTGGTTTCTACAACAGTGACAGATGAAACAAAAGTATGGGCCCGAGTATGGGAGCCACAGACAGGCCAGTGGCAGGTACAGTGTCTCCCTCACCCACAGACGGCACTAAAATAACCTGGACAGACAACAGAGGAGACAGGGGACAGAGGAGACATAAGGGATAGAGGGAACAGAGGTGAAAAGGGGACAGCGGGGACAAAGGAGAAAAGGTGTCAGCAGGGACAGAAGACACAGAGGAAACAGGAGAGAGGAAAGAGAGGGCACAGAGGAAGCATAGGGGACACAGGGGGCAGAGGGGACAGAGGAGCGAGTGGACGCTGTGGGGCTTGTGGAGCTTCTACAGTGAAAGACTCAGATAAATAGCAGAGAGTGTCAGGGGCTTGTGTGTGTGACATTATCACTGCATGACATTCCAAATAGGCCTCATTACGCTAATGCTATTAATTAGCCAGATGTGCTTCCTCATTGCTGGTGCCGACAGAAAAGGTCACCATAAAACAAACTTCATGATGCGTCGCCATAAGAGTTTAAATGATACACTTGACTGCTCCAGTGCTCTTAAATTGCCAAAGAGCAGCACCTCCCACTAGATTACACACTGTGTGATTGGATGTGAGTAAAGAGAAATAGATGTCAACAACAGCCTATGATACACACCATTTTCTTTAGTTTAGTTTGAGCTGCCCTTATCACAAAGTAGTATCCTCCAGTAATTTATTAATATTTTGTCTGTGTCGTAAGATTTAATCTTCAGCCACAAGTTTGAGTCTTAGTGGTACAATTTTTTTTTTCACCTTGGAGCAGACAACTCCATCTTTGCATCAAAAAATAAAAGAATCCCCATGGGGAATTCTGATCATATACATTTTAAACACTGACACAATGTGCTAATGTGTGCAAAATGTGTCCGCTCCAAGTGCTTAATGAATTAAATGTTTTTAGTTCAGTGTCGTCACTCTGCACACACATTATACACAGCACATAGGGCACCAAGTGCTTGTGGGGACACCTCCAAAAAATTAGGCTTGTGAATCATCACAAAACTATCCATCCAAAGTGCGTGGAGGGAGGCGAGATGCCGGTGTCAGCACGAACAGAATCCCCCAAAATCTCTCTTTCTCTGTCTCTCCCTCTCTTTTTCTCTTCCTTTATCTCAGTGTCTGGACCTTCACGCATGCCAGCAGATAGAGTCTTCGAGGATTTTTTAAAGTTCCTTGATTGAGTAAATTCTATTGTGCAATTATTTGTACTTATGTACATCATTTACCAAAGAAATGTGTACATTATTACTTACAAGGATACATACTTGTTCTCTGTTTACAATGTTCAGTTCAGTGCTCAGTCTGCAGTCATTGCACAAATCTTTGTTTCTACTAATGATGGTGATATTTATGTATTAACACTTTTTAATAAATTATTATTTCAGCTTTCATGATTTGTGTATTTGTTCTGCAAATAAAGCGAATCACACTGATAAATTCTGAATTTTAATTCTGGGTGGGGCGGGGTGGTATGGTGGGGCATCACAAAGCATTTGTGCTTAGGGCACCCAAATGGCTAGCAATGGCCCTGTTTTAACTGTTGAATGCCACTAAAATGTATGATTGTTACACTTTTGCTTGCTATGGTCTAACCGTAGGTTGTTTTTCAGAGCGGTGGTGCATGTTCAAGTTGATGACGTCAATGAGTTCAGTCCTACGTTTCGAGAGCAGCAGTACAAAGCATCTGTGACTGAAGGAAAGATCTATGACAGCATTCTGCAGGTATTTGAACATTTGATGTTTAGTGTAGCATTTTAAAAGGTTTTACTTTCAAGATGACACTTAATGTGAATTGTAATTGTTCAGGTGGAAGCCTGGGACCAGGACTGCTCTCCACAGTACAGTCAGATCTGCAACTATGAGATTGTAACTGCTGGGACACCATTTGCCATCGACCGTAATGGTAAGCTCTATACTTGTATATGTTCCATTTTAGAAAAGCACATTATAAGACAAGAGTGATGTGATTAGCACAGATCTCAGAGACACCAGATTGAATCCTGACTCTTATTTATAACTCAAGTCCAAGTTTACTGTAAAAGAGCAGCAGAAAGTACAGTTACTTGGCTAAACAAGTAAAAGTAGTGCTGCCAAGTTTGTAAATACAAGTATACATGAAAAATACCAATTAAAGAACTAGTATTTTAGCGACTTTTCACTTCGAGTTTCTAGATACTTAAGATCAAATATCAAACGTTCCCTGAGGGTGCGATGCTAACGTTGAGCTCTATTTGAGGTTTGTTAGACTTTAATCTGTGCATTATTTTAACACAATCTGACTAAAAAGAGCAGTTTTAGTTGGAACTACAACAGGTGAGCTCATTTGTGCTGTTAAACAAGACTCACACACTTAAAATTACAGCATTAGCCAGCCATTAGCTAGCTAGCATTAGTGAACCTTTTTGGTGAAAATCAAACACCTAAATAGGACTGTGAACACTCAGACTCATCACAGGCTTCTGAAAATGTCTTATCTAAATCCATTTTGTGTTTTTTTTTTTTTTTCAGAATTCAGACAATCTTAAAACATTTGATAGTGTTTGTTAGTGTAATGTGTGCATTCTGTCACCATGGTAACTGCTGAACATTCCACCATAAAGATATGCATAGAGCACCCCCAGCATGATGTCACTGCAAATTATCAATAAAGCAGGTTTGAAAATTCTGCAGGTCGAAATGGTAGTTAGATAGCTTTTTTAGAAAGAGTGGAATAATAATAAATGAGACTAGGAATGTTGTTTGGTTTGTGACCCAAAGGAACGACAGAGGCTGAGCAGAAGAATCTGAGATCATTTTTGAAAGTGAAGATAATGATGAGTTGAATTAAATACTGGAGGAGCAGCCATGTTTGATGTTTTGCAGAATGAGATGGTGGTCGGTGAGGTTAGAGCTGATTGACAGAAAAGGATTGTTCTAGCTCTAGTGAACCTGGACATGAAGGGAGCACAGAGACAGGAAGAGGAGGCTTAGCTGGGTCAGATTAATGTATTCCTTCTGGAGGAATGCTACTTTAAAACATGCATTTCTAACATTATGAGTGAATCATTAAAAATATAAAATGTTTGAGCAAGACAGAAAATCAGTGAGGAAAAAAACAGAACAAAACTAAAGCCATGTATTTTTGAAACAGGTCCAACCAAGCTATTGCACAATTTAGAGCCAGATGAGATTGGAAAGTATTTGTGATTTACAGTTTATGTTTTTATATAAGGATATTTTAAACACATCCATGAGTATTAACATTCATGAGGAGACTGTATATGGATGTAATACAAGAATCCCATGCCGTTTCATTTCAGATTATACGTACGTCACATAGTTAGCAGGTTTTATATGAAATGTTACAAGAATTTTGATTGTAATTTACTTATTGTGGCCATTCATGGTGCAATTTTTAAGGTGCATTGTGTAACTTTTCTGGTGGAGCATTACATACTTTTCTTCATAGAGATGTTATTGCTTTGTCTAGAATGTTTCGCAGTGTAGCGTTGAACCTTTCTATCTTCAAGTAGATCAAACCAGACCAAGTTATGAGTCAGATCTGTGGAGAGGAAACCCTGATCATAGTTAGAATGTCTGTTTTTCTAGTTATTTTTGAGCTATAAAACCACCTGTAATAGAATAATTGTAAGGTAGAATAGTTTATAACATACTGTGGAACGCTTTTGGCAGAACAAGAAATAACCAGGTGACGGACCAAAAAGTTACACTATGCACCTTAATCCCATAGTCGTAGTACAAAATATAAGTATGTACATACTATATTTACCCATGGATTGTGCAAAGAAAAACAGAAGAATATTATCTTGTTTTGCTCAGTGTGAACCAAGGATCTGACCTGTTGTTCTCCTTTCTGCACATACATCTCTGTAAATTGGGAAATGCGTATGTTTTTTTGTTTTGTTTTTTTGATGTGCTATTCTGAGTGGATCTGCTGTCGGCGTGTACTCCCACAGCCTTCATATCTTTGCGGCCATGATCCGAGCGTGGTTTAATTTGAACTGAAGTGAAGCTGCTGTGATGTGATGAAGCAGAGCGGAGTGAAATATGTCTTTAGCTGGTAGTTTTAGTGGCGTCCCATTGGCCTCTCCTGTTTAACCCTCTGTCCTTGTGCTTTTGAGCTGACTTATTACTACACACCTCCAGGCACAATGACACTGGTTTGTGCTTTTCTGCTAGACATGATTGCATTATGTCTGCCGAAGTGACTGAAGAGGTTAAAGTACAAATATGGCATAAGGATTCAATTGAGCAAAGAATAATGTAATGAATAATTTATATTGAGTGATCCGCTTTTCCAATACAGTTACTAAAAAGGTTCTTTTTGTCTCATTTAGTGTACATTTTATATTTCATGGGTTTCAGCTTATGGACATTTTGATTAGGCCTGTCACAATAACAAATTTTGAAGTGTGACATGTTGTTGAAGAAAACATAGACAATAAACAATAATACTGAAACTAATATTGTAGCACTTAGTTTGCATCTGTAGTGAATCATAGAAGTTATTAATTCAACCTTTTATAGCCTATATCTTATTGTACAGTCAAAAATAACAAAAAAATTCCCAGTAGTGCAAACAAAATGTACACAGGATAAATACTGACCCCAAAAAATATTGTTCCAGCTTTCATATATTGAATAAGATGATAATAATTTCACCAGTCAGAAGATATCATCTATTTTGTGTTGTTAATTGTTATGGCAACAGACCAAATCTTTTTCATCAGCCTGTAACCCATGGATAGCTCTTTGGCCATCCTGACTACCCTATCCTGACATCAACTCAAGAATTGCATAGTCTTGAAATTACAAAATATAATAATAAGGATATATTTTAACTGTGCGCAAATATGAAGAAACTCTTTATAAAACACATTTATTCTGGTAACAGGGTATCTGCTAACCATCTTTGGAGTCCAGCAGAGAAATATGACTTAAATGTGATTACTTGAGCCGAAGTTAAAACAAACTAACCAGAGGAGTAAATTGGCTTTGTAAACCTACTGTGATAATGGCTTTTTGAAATAACAGTGATAATTGCTGTGCCACCAGTTATTTATGACTAATTTGAGTTGATTGTTTTATTGAAATGCTGAACGAATCTTAATGAGTGTTTGTGTTGATTTGTAATAATATCTGTCAAATATTGAAACTGAAACAAACCAGTGGATTTCAATTGTCCTGGATCACATAGATTTTTGTTGGCCAGAGGTGTGAGCTCTCTGATGCTGTCCCTCTGGGGAGAAAAGGAGGAATCCTTTTCTCCCCATTCTATTTTCTCTTCTCTCTCTCTCCTTGTGTCCCCCTCTCTCCCTCCCTTCTGTCTCCCCCTATAGTATCTCCCTTTCTCTCTCCTCTTGTACCCTCTGGTTTCGTCCTTCCTCTCCCTTTTTCCTCCTCTCCCTCAGTCTCCTTACATAACCTGCCCTCTCCTCTGCTCTCTCTGTGTCAGAGACTGACAGCTCTTCAAACATGGAGCCTCGAGATGCCAACTACAGAAATAGAAGTGTTGTCCTCACAGGTCTCCATAAACACTATGGGACTAAAGACATTCATTTTTCTTGCTTTTATTTCTTGCTTATTGCTTAATATTCTTAAAATCAGAATTTCAGTGGTTGCAATTTGCAAAGCTCAAAGACTACAATTATTTAGGCAATGTCATTTTCTCTGCAGAGAAAACCTATTGATTTATTAAAGAAATTAAAAACTCATCACCCTCTTACTTTAGACTTCTACATTTACTGAACATATTCTCTTAGTTTAAAAATAAAAAAATTGAGTGATCTCTTCAATATTGCTTGCAAATATATTCTTTACTTGTGACCTGCCATGCTTGTTTTGACACAAATGAACCATGTGTTTCTAGTATTGTTTAATCCCTCTGTCAGTCACTCCCGTGAGAGGTCAGAGGTCAGGGGGAGACAGGTCTAGTTACAGTTGTTTCTTCTATGTCTTGTAGCTCTCAAACACACACAGAGGAGAGTTTGCATTTAACTGTGGATGACAGGAAAAATAAATAGTAAATCCTGGCTTAAAATTGCATAGTGCATCTGCAGCTTCAGTGAACTGTTTGTGTGCTTGATAGATGAAAATCATTTCTATTTTACATTAGCATCTTATAGAAACTTTAATCAAACATAAGAACATAATATGCTGCATAATAAGGCTTCTGTATGCTTGAGTTTTTCCATTACAATCTGCCCAAATGTGGCATTAATGCACTGTTGCTTTCAATTATTGGGAAATTGAAAACCTTCCCCAGCTGTAATTTGTCCAAAAACTGCGTCAGGGAAATAATTAGAAACCTAATTGCTTTCATCTTCTGGATATCTTTCAGGTAACATCCGAAACACCGAGCGCTTGAGCTACGATAAACAACAGAGCTACAAAATCATGGTGGCGGCGTTTGACTGCGGTCAGAAGAGAGCCGCTGAAGATGTGGCTGTGCATATTGATGTGAAACCAGTGTGCAAACCTGGATGGCAAGGTCAGTTCTGAACTAACCACACAGACATCGACTCTTCTACAGGACTAATTAGCAAAGCCCAAAGCAGTTCATTTAGTAGCAGTATTATTGACACACTTGTTGTGGTCAAAATACTGATGCTAAACTTTACAGGGGTGTAGGACTGTTTATTCAGGGCCCAGTGTAAGGTAATGTAGTCTGGGTCCACTAAGATGATTTGTACCTAGAGCCCAGAATTTGGTGCTACACCCCAGGTTGTTTAGATGATAGAAAGAATACAGTGATGTAATGTCCCACTCTCATAATGAGCCTTGTACATGTTGAATACGTAAAAATATAATTGGTCACATACAGAACAGTGTTTCAAGCCATGAAGTGAAATGCATTAGAATAAGTGTAGCCTTGAATTGACATTTCTGAACATTTAAAAGGCCTATATTACACTATTATCTGATCTATAACATAATGTTGTTTCCTCATCAAAAACATCCCTGGAGTTGTGTTTGTTTCATTCACACATTTTTTACCGAAATTCTGCATATTTAGGCTGTGTTCTTCTCTCAAACAGAAAACACTCTGTTCCACCTTGTGATGTCATATGGTAATACAGGAAGTGCTCTATTGTGTTTTAAACTTCATACACCTTCACTAGACTCATTTGGATAATTTCAGCCCTAGAATTGCCAATATATACTGCACTGAAGCTCAACTAAAACTAATTGCAGCTTCATGACATCACAAGGTGGAACAGAGCCTTTTGAGCTTTGGAGATACAGACAGACAGATAATACAGAGTTACTCAAACATGTTTGAATGAAACAAAATATAACTCCAGCCATGTTTTTGATTAGGTAACAACATTATAACATGTTTTAAAACTCACAAAAGTAAAACTGATGTAATATAGAACCTTTAAATTGAAAACTAAATGTATTCATGTTCTGGTATATATGAAAGAACGGGCGGACTGGTGATGACTGTTTTTTATTCTCTGTACACGGGTGGACTTTGGCATTGGAGGCAGACTGTCTCTCCTTGTGCTTTAGCTGTCAGCGCTGACAGCATCTCAGGTGTCAAGCTCTCAGGAGAGGAGAAGAGCTGTGCGATGAGAGGGGAGAGTGAGGGAAGAGAGAGGAGATGGAGGGGAGAGAGAGAGTGGAGAGAGAGGAAGAGAGGGGAGAGAGAAGAGAAGAGGAGGGGAGAGAAGTTGAAGATGGGAGAAAGATAGAGGTGAAAGAGAAGGGGAAGAGAGGAGGAGGGGATAGAGAGTGTAGAGTCAGGGAGGAGGGAGAGAGGAAAACAATGTTACAGTCCAATGGAGATGCCAGTGTCTCCATGGGGCAGACCTGCAGCCTTGTGTTTTCAGATCAGGGTCAACTTCACACACGTATAAAGGTATTTTACTTTTTACATGATGTGAATTCATGAGTCAAGATAACGGCCTGAGGCTTAGAGAGCTTTATTTTCAGGAATATCTTGAAAGTAGCATCACATGTTACTTTGCTCTGACAAATTTGTTCATATTTAGTGAAATAAAAAGAGGTGTTTGTATTTGGGGATTCGTATAGGGGTGTTAGTAGCACCTAGGATACAAAACCTTTATGCCCAATTATATTTTCTGAACACCAACATTAACAGCTATGTAAGAAGGTAAAGCATTTAAAGATAGGCTATGTGTTATTACTGAATTCAAGTCCAAAATAATGGCTCGTTGAACTAGCAGTAAGCATCTGCTGTGTCATCTGTGAATAAAATTACTACAAATTACTCTCCTTGTGCTTATTGTAAGTTGTTCAACAAATTAAAGTCTCTTACTTCTCTCCATGACATTTAGAGGCCTTCATGCACATTTCTTACAATTTCAGGTTTATGAGCATAGCCTCTGGTCTGTTACTATGGGAACGAATTTGAATTAACCCTGAGAACTATCCTAATTTGCATAATATGACTAATTTGAAACAACATAGCCTTTTAAAAATGTTAAGCATTAGAATCAATGACAAAATGTAGCTGTCCAGACCTCGTCACCTAGAGCTTGTACTTTTTTTTTTAATAACTGAATTTTGTGAATTTGTAAAATATATTGACTCATATTATCTAGTTAAAATATTTCCTTGAAGGTGTGAGTAAACCTGTTGGAAGAGCTGCAGTCTATGGAACAAAGCAGAAGTCCTCTGTACAGCAATGGTGGCCTTGTCTTGTCGGCAGTGTGATGCCTCAATACACACTGAATCTCATGCACTCATAAACAGGACATTTGGCTTCATGTCCAATCCTGTTATTTGTGTTAAAAGACATAATTGGATCAGAAAACTTCCACGTAGGCATCAGGCGAGATGCTGTTCCAGACAAGAGCCATTAGTGAGAAGACAGAGGCAGTGAAAAGGACGGTGCCGCTGTCGTTAAGGCTCATTGAGGGAAATGTCAGAGAAGATTACAGAGGGGCGGAGCCTCTCACCCTAAGACCTGGTCACCAAGCACCAAGGCATGAATGACAGGCCACTTTATGTAAATGCCATGAGGTTTTGGCTGCTTTGGAATTCACTACAATAATATGCAGGAAATCCTGTCATGATAACTTATTGTTCAATATATGATAGATGGAACAATGATTTTTGTAGACTTTTTTTGGTACTAGTGGGCAGTTCTGTTGTTGTTGATGTTGTTGTTGTTGTTTTTTGTCTATAACAATAACATTTGAGCTTATTTATGCTCATAATCAACATGCGCATTTATGGTCTATTTTTTCTTCAGCAATATATCAAAAGATTTCTGTATTCAAAATGTGTTATCGTGATAGGCCTAGTCAGGACCTATTTACATCATTTAAGTTCTCACTGATATTTCCTCCTATATCTGAATACCTAATACGTACTGAATCCATTCACACTTAAATAGGTATTAAGACTGAGGATGCTTGGAGCAACCATTTATTTTGTAACGATGTAATGCTTTCTTTGTTTTTGTTAGTTTTTTTAAGTTTAAGTGTTTTGCCTGACCTCATCTAATTAAACAAGCAATTTATCTGCAAAACGAGAATAATAAAATGCTCAAAGATCATAACAATTGTAAGATAAACATGCACACAATTAAATGATAAGGGAAAAAACATCAAGATGTAACTGAAAAACATAATATCAAAGAGAAATGCTACAAAAAGCCATGCACCTCCAGCTTTCCACCATCAAACACATGGAGATAATACAAGGGTAGAGTCAGAAAAACAATGGCATAGTGCGTTTGCATAAATGTCGCTGTAATTTCTGCTAATCACAGTTAAATAATGTGAGCACTCACGGTGAAAGAGAGTGTAGAGTAATGAAGAAGAAATTATTGCTTCACATTGGGTTAATTGATATGACACACAAACAATGCACCACTTACACAGTGGAACAAATGATTTCATGCTATTACGTATTCAATAAAAGCCCACAGTTGTATTTCCACTGCAGTACCACTCACAGCTTATGTTTATTTACAGCTAGCACATTTGTCTGCTTTCAAAGGTTGGACCAGACGAGTGGACTATGAGCCAGGGACGGGAAGCAAGCAGCTGTTTCCCAAGATGCACTTGGAAATGTGCGGAGGCCCCCTGTCTGGTGTGAAGGCAATGGTGGAGCTACAGACAAACCACATTGGAAAAGGCTGTGACCGTGAGACATACTCCGAGAAGTCTCTGCAAAAACTATGTGGTGTGTAAGAAAGTATGAGGGAATCTTATTTATCATCGTTTACTCAAATTTACTCAAATAGCACTTAATACCACTAAAGCCCGATGTCCACTGAACGATTTTGTCTGTCAGCAGTGACATTTTCGATTGTGATGAAAATCTAATATCGTAGCTCCAGAACTGTGGTGTCATACTGTGAATACACGCTGTCTATACGGTGTAAAATACTCTTTTATTTTCCTCCTCATGTGCATGAGCAGAGAAGCACCCTTTTTTTTTTAATATTGTCACAAACCCTAGTGGATTTCCATATTGGATTTACATTATTTTTATATGAAATGCCAATGCTATGATTCATGAGTGTATATTATATATAATGTAAGAGTCATTTTCCAGACGTAAATGTGAGCTGACACACTTCAGAATAACATCACATGTGTTTGTGACTGCAGTCGTCTTGACAGTGTGTGTGTGTGTGATTGACAGGTGCAGCCTCTGGCAGCACTGACCTTCTCCCCGCCCCCAGCCCCTCTTCTAATTGGACGGCCTCCCTGCTGACCGACAGTGGGCGGGACAGTGACCTGATCTACAAGTTTGATGGGCGCCAGGCTGCTAACATCCCAGGACACATCGTACCCCAAAACCTGACCGATCAGTTCACCATAGCAACCTGGATGAAGCACGGGCCCAGTCCTGGACTCAGAGCGGAGAAGGAGACGCTACTGTGTAACTCTGACAAGACAGGTGCCACCTCAAAACCTGCTGTTTACTGTGGGGTTTATGCAGGAGCATAATGACCCAAAACACAAGGAGAGACTGCACAAGAGTCCTTTACGTAGAAATTAAGAGCAAACGTGTAAAGTACAAACATCATTAAATTAATAAAACAAATATATATGTAATTTAATATATGTTATTAAATATAATAAAATATTATGGTTAGGGTTAACATTCAGGTCTCTAATGCAGCAGTCTTGTTTAAATACAGATCTGTTTTTACACTGTAACTCTACTGTACCCTCCAGTCGTCATGACGATATAATGACAACTCTGAGAAAAAGTTTGCTATCAAACAAACAGAAAAGACATTTACTGAGTGATTAAGGAACTAAGCAGAAATTATTACAAGTAAAAAGCAATTTCTAAACCATTTGGGTGAAGTAAAATGGAACTGTTGTGCATAGCTGACATTTAATGTAGCTTGCACTTCTGAACATGTGAGGGTAAAAAATGGACCAATGAAGAACAATATAGTTATTAAAACAAATGAGTGACCTTTCTGTCTCTCATGTTTAGATGATTTACTGGGCATTTAAGGACTGGGGCGATGACAGAATTATGGAGCACAAAGCCTTCTCCAGAGATGAAAACAGGCTGTTGTCAGTCTTGTTTTGTGCTTGACCTTTTGCCAACAATGAAGGAAAATACTACACTCTGTATCGAGCCAAATGTTTGTTGCTACCACTGGTTCAATGAGTCTCACACTGCAATTACATCTGTTAAAGGTGCACTTGGTAACCTTTAAAGTGGAGGGCCTGCCACCTGATTTTCTCCATGAAGATGGTATTGCGTTGCCTGTAATGTTCCGCATTATAGCATTAAACTGATCTATCTTGATGAAACAAGCAGGTGATGCCTCCAGGCCCAAGGTCCAGTGACTCATTTCTGTGAAGAGGCAAAATAAGAATACATAATTTTCAGTGTGGTATTGAACAATAATAATTAATGACCAAACAGAAGTTTAATACCATGTTGTGAAACATTCCATCACCAGAAAACTTACATAGTGCACCTTTAAATTGTAGACACCTGGTATTACAGACATGGGCATTGTACAGCTCCTGGGCCACGTACGGCCCTTTGGTTGATTCTGACAGGCTGTTTAAGCTAAATTGTAATTACAAAATAAACATATTTTATAATTTTACCTCATGCGTGGACTAGAGGTGCATTGCTTTGATTTTAGAGATGTTTTGAAATTTTTTGACATTTTGATATTTTTGAGTGACATTTTTTGTAAGGCAACCTCACTTTTTCATAATAGTCATAACATGTACGCTTACCAGTCTTACCAACTTGTCAAAACAATGCTATTTACTCCTTTTCATAAAAAAATACAAGTAATATTATGCAAAACTGAGTAGAGGCCTGGCCCTCCACAATATTTTCTGTCTCTCATGTGGCCCTGTTGAAAAAAATAATTTCCCAGTTCTGTCGTATTATAACATTGGTAAGTGGTAACACTATGCAACATTCATTTTGTATATTTGCAGGTCATTTAGTTTACAATTTGTGAATAATTAAAGTGAGCTTTTTCTTTTGAGTTTTATTGAATGAATATATTTGAAGACCTGCTGCTAAGGAGATAACAATCCACCAGAATAGTAACATTATCAGGAGGTATAGTAATTGCTGTAGAAGAAGTAATTCTCTCATTAATTGAAACGCACTTTAAACATACATTCCACTTATTATTACATGTTTTCATGAACACTTCCATAATAAAGTCATACTGCCCTAGTTATATTTTGAATACTTCTTTTATGTCTTTCTGCTGTATGCCCATTGCCATTCTATCAAATGAATGAAAAACACTATAGTCTGTAGACCACTCAGCATAACTAGGAGAAACTCAAAGTGTTTTTTTTTTCACTGAGTCTAAATTGAGCTGCCTGAACTCTTTAATTAAGCAAACCATCTGTACACTCTTACAATGTCCACACAGATGGCTAATTGGCTACGGAAATGTGAAACGCATAATAGAAAATCGCATGGTACCAAGCCTTTCTGTGTACAAGATCTTGACCCGGTCTTTTGACGTAGATCTATTCATAACATGCTCTACATCATCTCCACAATTATAAAGCTAATTTGTTCATTTTCTGTGTGACATTGTTTCAGAGATGAACCGGCACCATTATTCACTGTATGTCCACAACTGCAGACTGGTTTTCCTGCTTCGAAGGGACTTCTCTCAGGTTGACACTTTCAGACCAGCCGAGTTTCACTGGAAACTAGAGCAGGTACGTCTCATTTGGTATGTGTGTATACCCAAGTGTTTTAGAATGATGAAAAATTAGGACCATTACCATAGTGATTAACAATTTAAAACAAAATGTAATACCTTTTCAATAGGAAAAAGTCCTCACAAATTATGCAAATAACAGGAAGTTGAAAAAGCCATGAATGCACTGCATGTGTGACAGTGGAGGACTGTTGGCATCAGTACAAGCATCAAGCAGTTTGATGCTACATTGTGACTTAACACTAATGTTATTTGAGAGAGGCTTGTTTAACAGCACAAATCAGCTCACCTTTTTAGTTCCAAATAAGTCAGTTGGTCTGTCTGGTCTGTTATAATGTTGTTTCTTCATCACAAACATACTTGGAACTCTGGTTTTTTTTTTCATTCATTTACACATGCAACCCTTTGTGGTAACAGGAAGTGCTCCACTGTGTTTTTACACTCCACACACCTTCACTATAATCACCTGGATGATTTCAGCCTTGAAATTGCCAGTCTCTACTGAATAAAGGGTAAAAGGTAGCTGTTAACTTGAAAACTACCACTACATGACATCACAAGGTGGAACAGAATATTCTGAGCTTTGAAGATGTGTGACTGAAACAAAACACAACTCCAGGTATGTTTTTGAGAAGGTAACACCATTGTAACATGACTTAACACTCACAAGAGTCAATTTTGAATAAGGACCTTCAAAGTGTAAACTTGAGTCACAGAGCTTCAGGCAGAGCAGTACCTCCAGTTAGCTTAGGAATGTTGATAGTATGATCGGAATGTATCAATTCTCAGGGTAACTCCAGTGCAGGCAAAGAGCTATTATTTGTGTTATGAAAAAAAGGCTTTCAATCCTAATTAGCTCGGGCCCTGTCACTTCTGCGCTCATGTTGGAGATAAGAGAAAGGAAGAAGGAACGTGCACATAGGTAGACAGTCTGGTGTTTGGAGTCTAGTCCAGGGTAATAGTGCTCCCAGCAGCACATCTCTATTATCTATCACATACTGGTGGAGTGCAGAACTCATTTGCTGAGAAGTAGATTTTGTTGGAGCTGCAGAGGTTTTCAAAGAAACGGTAGTTAGAAGGACGCATAAAAGTTTTCTGACAAAAACACAACATAGCTGAAAACAGAAGAGCAAAGGCAATGGTTAAAAATGAATGCTAAGACAGATCTGAATAGATACCTTGTAAAAGTCATCTGCTTTGATTTTAATATATGAATTTCAGATTGATTAATAATTCACACCGTTGCTATAGCAATTAACAATCCAAAACAAAACACTGTATATTTTAAAAGTGCTCACAAAGTGCTATAAAAAGAAGCTGAAAGTCATGAATAGTGGATGCGATAGTTTATGTGAAGTCAGTGTAGATGGATGGGAGCAGGGCTGTTGTCAGGACTGCTGTGAGTTAAGACCCTGACAAAGTACTGTATCAACCGAGCACCTGTGACGTGCACTTGGACGTGAAAGTGACTTGGACCCAAGAAATAGCAACTTCACCACAACACTACAGCCAAGTCATCCCTTTGTAAAATATGTACCAAGAAATATTTCCTTCTTCACTAATCTGATGTTAAACCCACTGAACCCTAAAACTTAACTCCCTACTGTTTCTGTTACCACTCAAACTGACACCCCATCATTGAAAAGCTGACTCTAACTATACATTATTACCTTGGTGCAAACATTACTGCGATAGATAGACAACGCTGGTTTGTGGTACTGTTTGTGATAATAACCAACATGATAATTACTATGCCCATCACTGTAATCTGTACAGCAAGGTTGGCTGGACTTCCCTACACACCCACATTTTTATTTACAAAGCTTTACTGGCAAACTTCCACAGTATCTCTCTCCTCCATGATTCAATTCAGTTTTCATCATTACCATACCAGGTCTCAAGAGGGACCGACCCTAGCAGTACTACAAATCTACGCAAAGCAAGGGAAAACTGGTTTTAGAACACTCTCATAAACCAACTAAAACTAATCAGTGTAATTCCCTTAAGTGAATGTAAACACACTATATCTGTCATCTTTTCTGACCATTGCAATTGTTTTAACTGAATGCCTTATGGACTACAGGCGCAACTCATTTTTAAATGTACTTTTTATTATGTATTTTATTAATTGCAAATCTCAATGGGACTTCCTGAAAAAATAAAACAAATAAAAAATAATGGGCCATGATAATCGTGACACAAATGTTCAGTATTCTAGTAGTAGTTGCATAGTTTCCCTTAAAATGAGCCAAAGTTTTCCTCAGCTGAATCTCTGGAGCCCAAACATTGTAGAGGATAAGCCTGTGTCTGGGAATTTCCTGTACAAACTTACTTTCCCTCATTAATTTTGGACAGCAGACGCACTGACTATAGCCTCTGTGGTCCCCTGAGACACAGCATAAATTCACCTTATATTAAACGAACATTATTGCTGAAGAAGTACTTCATGATAAAGCTGTCCTCTTGGGGGCCACTGCTTACTTAGCAAATTATTGGATGTAGAATTTCTTTCAGGCCTCAGGGCTACAGACACATGGGTCATTTAAATGTACAGTAACACGGAGAACACCAGTCACAGCCCTGTGTAACTTTTCTGATGATCCACCGCCAGCTTGTCTCCATAGAGATGGTATTGCTTTTGCTTTGACTGTAGAAGCATAGATATAATAGATAATCACTGTATTGTCACTGAGACAAACTTGTGACACCTCCAGGCCAAGTTACAAGTTACATCTGTTTTATTATATATTATATTATATATGATCATATATTATTATATTTTATTATAGAACATTCTGGGCAAAACAAATCTCTGTGGAGACAGGAGGTGGTGGACCCCCCACTGGAATAGTAACATAATGCACCTTTATGACACTTTGATAGGACAGTGAATATTATTTATCTCACAAATATAAATTCAACAAAAATCTTGTCACACCTAAAACTTTTTTCTCTGTTTATTATTTGTGTGATGGAGTCAGGGTCTAATCATGGGTCCATTTCGGTGGCCTATCCGTTTGCCTGTGTGTGCCCTGCAGACCACAGCACACACAATGCTTTCTCTCCTGTGTACCTTCTAAGCAGCTCTCTGTTTGTTCTTGGTCAAAGGTAGATTGAAAAGTGTTTTTTCCTCCGCCGCTTGTTGTTCTCTGGAGGTTGACAGAGGTGGATGTGACAAAGGCAAGGGCACACGCACACTCACATTTTTTTTTTCTTTTTTTGAGCAAACAACCCCAAGACGTAGTTTTCTTTTCATTCTCTCTGGCTTCTCTTATCTTGTGCTTTCCGACCACCATCTGTGCTTGTGCCTCATACACAGACTGTAGATATGAAAGCTTACTAGCATACGTACATAGTGTTGGGTTTAACAAGAAAGACAGCGAGGAAAACATGTGGTGTTGAGAATGATAATTTTTCTCATTCCTTTGAACTTTAGCATATTACATTTTAATATACAAATACAGACTTTAAAAAACTGTCAAAACTTCTAAGAGACCATGTTTTTATCATTTGTTGCTTAAATAACACATATATTTATTGCCCACCTGGTTTGGTTTCACAGATATTCACTCACAAACCCAGTTGGATGTCTAATCCTCAAAACCAGCTGTACTAAGCTTAGCCTGCTGTTCTATTTTGTCTGTGATGTCTGCTTGTGCGATGGAGAAACATGTTACACCATTGAAATGCACTGTTATCTGCTTAGTGTGTGAAAAAGTATACAATCTTAGGATACATTCACACGTGTCATGATTTGGCCCTGGTTTGAGCTAAGGTTAGTATTGATGTGGTCTATGTGTATCCTTAAACCGGGTCTGGACCAGGCTAAGCTCCCTGCATTAGTTAGTTTCCATATTGTCTTATCACCAGAGCTTAAGCTGTTCATCTCTAGGCCTCTAGGCTGACGTCCTGGTTAAAAACTAACCAATGTTGTACCCACCTGTAAATATTGTATTGTATTGTGTGTATGTGTTTGCGAATGTGTATCTGAATGTGGCAATGTCTGAAATGTGAAACTGCACTGATGTGTTTCAAGATTGTGTTTTGAAATGTTTAGTGTAGGGAAAAGCCCGATTAAGAACAGGAGCAGAGAGTTAGTTTAAATGAATAAACTCCCTCGATTAGAATATGATGAAACAAAAATTAGGACATTTTATGTAAAAGCCCCTCATGGTGTTAGCTTTATGACAACAGGCAGGGAGGGATCAGCTGTACAGTTTTAGAAAGGACACATTGAAACGTAACTAGGGGCAATGTGTGAGTATATATGAACAAGTGTGGGTGAGGTGAGGTGAGCCTGAATAACAGCTACAGTAACAGTAATAAATAATAACGGTGACAGAGGTGCATTGTGGGTGCGGGTGAGTAGGGGGGGGGGGGGGTGTCAACGCTGCTACTTGACGTCCTTGTTCCTCCAGCACTTAGAGAGGACACTCAATGGCTTCTCCGGCAACTCCATTTAGCTCTATTGATTTTGCAATTCTCACTTCAAGAGACAAGGAGCTGGACCCAGATGGAAGAAAGTGGGCAACGTGAGCAGGCCATGGAGAAAGAAGCTCCAATTTTCAGAGTCAATAGCACGCAGCGAGGGAATGTTACAGGAAGGCAGGCACAGCACTATGTATGCAGGGCCATACTGGGGAACGTGGACGCACTCCTCCTATCCATTGTGCTGTTTTTTCACCTGCGCTAATGGACACGAGGACACATCACTTTTCGCCAACCTCTTCTACTCTTGAATGTAGATAGCATCTTTTTTTAAGAACCCAAGCTTTACTTCTACTTTTTCTTCTTTTGTCTGTTGAGAAAGGGCTCCATTTTAGAAGTTCTGTCTTTTTTCAGATAAGATAGCGTGTAGCTGACAGTGATTTAAACCCATTTCAATGAGGGCCAATGAAGATAAAGAAAAACATATCAACACCTAGCAGCTGTTTATATCACTCCACTTTGTGTTTAAAGCCCACATGTGTAAGGAGCAGTTACACTCAGATAAAGGCC